ACAATTTTGTAGAGAGATTTCATAATCCATTTAATTTATAGTTTAGGTTGTGTGCGTACCTTTTATGTCCATTTAAGTGGTTTTATTTTGGATGTTTAAAATGTCTTCCAGTCCTAGTGTTAAGTTTTACAAAATTAAAGTGATTGGTCTTTCAAAGGGCGAATTTGAGTTATTTTCACCAAGTCTCAATATATGACTTGGAAATTGTGTCACACTAACATTATTGTTTATGGCAATAATTACTGGGAGAATTTATTGCATAGCAAAATTTGTTATTGTTATAGACCCAATGATGCATGAATACTAGTTTTGTAGGAAAAGAGAAAATTTTAACTACGGTATATTCTTGGCAAAACTTAGAGATCCTTTATTAATTTATGGGTGCACCAAGCTTTAAAAAGCCTGACCTGCTGATCCTGATTGTGGCCGATACCTCTTTTTTTTTCTGTCTGAAAAGTTGGAAAATATAACAACAAAGTTGCTAAGTTGGCAACAGTGGAGTGACGACTGTTAATGATTTTTAGACTTTTGCAGAGATCAGTGAGATTGGTTTCACATGCAAGTATCAGCCAATTGTCGATTTCCCAAAATTAAGGAAATCCTTCCTGACTGATTCATCGGTGCACCCCTGTTTTTTATTTTCACAAATGGAGTGAAGGCTTCACAATCACAAACTCAGGCTTAAAGGATCCACAGTCGGTGTAGAATATGCCAGTCCACGTGTGAGAAGTCCCCATATTGTAGATTGAATGTAAATTCTGCAAACAGCAAATGGATAGACACAAGCTTTATTCAATCAGAAATATTTTTGCTTTTTTACTATATCTAAACATTCTATGTGACTTAATATTTAAAAATGTAACAAATATTTATTAAAAAAATAAAATGCAACAGTTAGGTCATGCTAGATGAAATCTTAAATCAGCTATTTATTATTTAGATTTTGGTAAGTAGATATAAGCAAAATACTAGCATTAAAACCTGCTACAAAGAAGAGTAGCATGAGCAACACAAGCTGGATTCATCGGCTTTACAGACCAACTGCTTGTTTTGCAAACATAATTTTAAACAAGCATTGCCCTAATAGGAGGTGATGTGTGGGACGTCTTTAGTTTCGACATCTTTCTTCTGTTTTTGTGGCCAGAATTATTTTCAAACAGCCAACTTTGTGTTTTCTTATTGGCAACAGAAAGGTCTTGTATCGTTACTCCAGATACAAGAGTATCACTAACTAGTAGTGTGCATTCGGTGGGGGAGGGGTTGTGTCATAAGCAGGTATATTTTATTGCATAACTTGACGCTTTTCTCAGACCTTTCAGTTGCTGCATCATCAGTTTTCATCACTGAGACATCTGATTAGCACAAAGTCTTGTTGACTCAAACCCATCATCCATACAGCTGTTATGGGATGCTTTGGGGAATAGTTGGTGTTGTCATACCAGTCTCCTGTATAACTTTTTGTCAGTGCTGTGTTTTAATGTTCTTGCTTACCACTATGTAATCGTCACTTGTTATTAAAGTAAAAGGCCTACACCAGGGGTGGGATTCCTGTTTGAAACTGCTGTAATTGAAAGAAAGAAGATGGGAGAAGAGAGATTTTGGATAAAAACACTTGTTTCTGAGAGTGTGTAGTGGTGCTAGTGTGTGAAGTTTGCTTGCAGCAGCAGAGTTGCTGTGCTGAGATCTGCTTTTGATCTTTTCGTAACACAGACTGACAGGTTTGTGGGGGCTCGCTTTACTGTGTTTTCAGCAAAACTGTGCACAGAAAGACGGGGAACATGCTCAGTGCGCGTCTAGCTTGGGACTGTGGTTCTGCACCCCTCCATTTAAGGGTCTTCAAGTACTATTTCAGCTCACACACTCGTACATTCCGGATAGACGGCCAGAACAAGAACTGGACCTCTGCAGAAATACTTCTCTAGAATAATGGACATTCTTCCTCTCTCATTGCCACTCCCAGTCCTAGAAACACAAAACATAACACAGATGTGAAAACGGGGGACTGAAGAAGTTGTTGGTCAGTTCTACTCAAGATCTGTTTTGCTTTTTACATATGGTCTGAACCTTTCATTTAGAATTTCTTACATATTGTCCAGATTTGTCAAAGCAGAGCTCAAGATGTTGGATGTAGATCTGAGTATCTGACCAGAATGGACCAAAAAATATCAATACTTTTTTTTTTTTTTTTACACTTTTTGTAATCATCACAATATACTTTCAAATGAATAAACCAGTTTCTAAGAAGGGATTTGTTTCAATAGATTTTTTTATGTGGGCACAAAATAAGTATTTATCACATAAAAACAGGACTTTATTTCCAATTCCAAAAGTCAGAAGTTTCTTGTAGTTCTTGACCAGCTTTGCACACACTTCAACTGGAATCACGGCCCACTTGTCCATACAAGAACCTCTCCAGATCTTTCAGCTTTTGGGGCTGTCGCGAGGCAACACAGTTTCAGCTTCCTCCAAAGAGTTTAAGGTTCAGGTCTGGAGACTGGCTAGGTCAGTGCATGACATTGAAAGGCTTCTTTCAGAGCCACTCCTTAGTTACCCTGGCTGTGTGTTTTGGACCGTTGTCCTGCTGGAAGACCCAGTCACAACCGGTCCTCAATGCTCTTACAGAGGGAAAATCTCTCATGGATGCATATTCTCATCCATCCACCTCTCAATACGATTCAGTCGCCCTGTCCTCTGGGGAGAAAAGCATTCCCAAAGAATGATGATTCCACCTGCATGGGTTGGAATGGTGTGTTGTTCTTCCTCCAAACACAATGACTAGAGTTTCAACCAAAATGTTCCATTTTCGGTCTCCTCTGACCTCCTGACCTTGCCCCATGCCTCCCCTGGACCATCCAGATAGTCATTGGCAAACTTCAGGCTTGGACATGGACTGGCTAGAGCGCTGTAGGATTTTAATTCATGGTGGCGTTGTGTGTTACTATGGTAACGTTCAAGACAGTGGTGCCAGTTCTTTTCTGGTCATTGAGGTCCAGAGAAAGGAACCAGGTCCTCCCGTGTAGTTCTGGGTTGATTCTTAAGTCCCTCCCCATTTTTGGGGTTGGGCATCTGGCACCTCACTAGCACAGGCAGCGCTAGTGGCGCAACAGCTGCAGGGTAAAATGAATACTAATTTTTATAAGCATAGAGGAAATAAAAATCTCACAGAGGGTGCAAGGTGTTCGATAGACTGGGCTAAAATATAATGACTACATTCCTTGCAGTTAAGAGTTGTACATTGAATGCACTACCAGTTGTTAATATAGACCAAATTTTAACTGCAGTGTTTGTTAAAAATACAAACTTCAACACCTCAACTGCACCTTTAAAAGTAATTTCTTACCTTAGGGGTAGTATTGACTTTCTGCACGTAAAATGTATTTGATGGCATGTTTCCTTTTATTATGGAATGTATAGTTTGTTACCTCGTGTTAAACAGTACTTTAAACCATATAATAGTCCTAATCTTCAAAATAGTTAAGTCTACTCTCTTTTCCTTCTGCTGCTGTTCACTGTTGGTTGCAATGTTCCAAATTTTCAAGTGGCTAGATGACGCGCTCATCAGATTAGCTCAGGAGGAGCCCGACTCGACACAGAGATGCATGCTGAACACATTAAGATAACACAAGTAATTGCTGTCACACAGGAAATTGAGAAATTGCCTGATTGAGCCTCCAGATACTGAGCCTCGTTTCTCATAACATGTTGAACAGTTCTGACTAAAACTCAACGCGGCTTCATAGCAAAAGCTTCAGCTCTATCAGAGGTGGGATGTTTGTGTTGCCCAATGTTTCCAGTGTTGCAAAACTAGCTTTGAACGAATCATTTACCCATGCTTTAGTGAGCTTTTGGACTTCTGTTTATCCTTGCAGTCATTCAGCTGCCATTATGGACTGAAGGACAGGATGTGTTGCTATTATTGAGTGTTTTTGATGTTTGTACTTTTTTTTTTTTTTTTAACAAACAGGTTATTTGGCTATTTTTAAAAAGGAGGCATAATAGGTTCAGTTTAAGTACTTTTTCCCCCCGCAGATTAAGTTTAGTTGGCTTGTCGCAGTAAAATTGCAACTGAAAAGTGGTCTAGTGTGATGCAACTCACTTCCTCCCGCCTGCCTTTATCAGCGGCTGACGGCCAAGGCCTCGTCACTGTTGATTTTAGTGGCAGATCAGAGCGCCATCTCTTTGCGTCACTTCTGTCCAAGGTTGTCTACCTCTTGTTTTTTCTTTTGCTTCTATAGTTATGTTCTGATTAACTGAGCAAACGTGCACTTTGTCAAGTTATAGTGTTGGTCTAGCAAAAAAAAAAAACTCTGCTTAGGAAACCCTGAATGAAACCCTCGCTTAAAAGCTCTTCATCATGGCAGACTTTATCAACATGAAGCACTAGACCGAGGCGCGAAGGTTGACTGAAAAATAAGATTAAAACGTTCCCAGGAGAATACAAAGGTTTCAATACTGACAGTTAAAGGCAATTCTGTGATAGAATGTGTTTACTGTGACTCAATGAAAATTTGTTAGACTGTTTCTTACTTGTTAGATCAGCTAAGAATTATTTTAAGAATGTTTTTGTCTATGAGAAAATAATTGGATATTCAGTATGTCAAAATTCAGGTTTTATGCTGCATATTCCAGTAGGTGATCAGCTCAGTCAGAAACAAAAGATACATTGTGTAATCTGCACATTTCCACATACACAAACGGCTGTTCAATACAGAAAATGCCAATTAGTAAAGTTTCCCCTTCCTTTTGGTGCCCCCTCTAGCGCAGCACACATATGCGTAGCATTTGGGGACATGCACTGCTAACTGCAAGACTGTAAATGTTATAGTGTTCAGTATTTTAGACTTAACACACCATTCAAGAACACCAATAATGAAAGAAAGCTATAGTTCATAGCTACTTTTTGTGGCACTCAGGATACTCAATAAATTATATTTCTCATCCTCTCTTTACTTCCTCCTGTCCTTGTTGTGTCTCACACTCGTTCTCTCTTCTGTCCACAGCTCCTGTTGCATCTTTTCTCCCTCGTGACCCCCACCCCTTAGCCAAAATCCGGCTGTTAGATGTGACGTCGAGGTTGATCAGGAGAAGTCACCATGTCTTAAACGCCGAAGGGCCCTCTGGAGCCCTGCCCCCCCACCCCATCCTTCCCTCCCCCTCCCCCTCTCCCATCCCCCACCTCGCCCCGTCCCCCAGCCC